GAAAGCTGTTCTGTAACTTGCTGTTTCTGAACTGGCAGAGCATTTTAGATACCCCTTAAGTAATTTGTGAAAATGTTCAGCTCAGAAAATCTCAAATTTTGTTAAGGCTTCAGTGTGCTGCTCCCTGACCACAGCACAGAGCACAGGACAATTAGGATAGGCTGGAGAGGGGAGAAAAAGGAATGTTGTCTTGCAAGGCTCCCGTGCCTGGCTGAATGGTGTCACCTGAAAGCATTGTGCAGCGGCTGCTGCATCCTGGTGAGGTGTAATATCAGGAAAAYGGGTAAGGTCACTCAAATGTCAGGCTTCATAAAGACTTTGTATTCCAGACTGTATGATGAGCAAGGATGCCCTTTTTCCTCCCAGTGCCGAATTGCTTACCAGTACGYGAATGTTGTGTGTGGATTTGAAACAAATCCCTCGCCTTGGCAAGCGTGGTTTAAGCTAAGCTTGTGTGTCATCCATTGCAACAAGAAGCCTGATAAAATTTTGACGCTAATAAAACTAACTTCAACATGGTTTAAAAAGAAAAAAAAAGGCAAGCTTCAGACGGGTGTATTCTGTCATCATCATCATCGTTCCCGCGTCCCGTTCTTGCCTCTGTCCTAGCCCAGCACTGCTGCAGTAGATGTACTTCCTCAGAAGTGTTCTGGTGCYGCTAAGATGAGCGGTACTGCTCTGCAGAAGCGTGTGATAAGGTCATTCTTCATAACCACAATCCCATCACAGATGGTCTTTTTTTTTGATCCTCTAGGGCCTACCGATTTCCATGTATGGTGGCGCTCTAATACCCTCCCACCCGCAACTAGCGGATGGCCCCGGAGGTCCTCTCTTTAACGGGCTTCATACTCCAGATCCAGCCTGGAACCCCATGATCAAAGTTGTCCAAAATTCAACAGAATGTACTGATGCTCAGCAGGTACTGTGGCAGCCTTTTTTCCACCTTTGCTTACATGGAGCTTTTTTCCAGAGTTATGCCTTGTTTTTCCTTAATCTGGGTAGATGAGGTAGTTGTTGTTTTGTTTTTTGTTTTTCAACTCTTAAGATATTAGAATTGTTTGCATGTTTTTTTTCTTCTATAGCGTGTTTGTAAATATATGTGGTTTTTGGATAAATAGCCAGAATTTCAAGAATGCTTAGCAAGGTGCAAATGTTATTTTAAGTGCTAGGATTTATATGCATAATGAGTGTATTACAGGTTGGCCCTCAAAGCCTGGTCAGAGCTGAAGATAGCTCCCAGCCTCTCTACAACAATCTGCTTATATTCCAGGGGGATATATAAGCAGATTGCCCTCCAGCAGTGAATTTCTCTGTTAAAGAAACCTTTAATTTTTTTTTTTTTTTTTTTTTTTGGTTTTTTTTTTATAATAGACATGTTTTTTTCCCTTCTTGCTGTAGATTTGGCCTGGCACCTGGGCACCTCACATTGGAAACATGCATCTCAAGTACGTCAACTGATTTAAGGGGGTCTATCCTTTTTTTAGCCTTGTGTTGGGAAATCTTATGACTTTGAAGAACCCTGGGGATTTTTTTAACGTGCCTATCTAAGCGATTCTCTGTGGGCTGTAACAATGGAAACTTGATTGCCCGTTGTATAAGAACAAATTGATTTACCTATACAACTGATTCTGTTCTCCAGTTAGTTTAGCCGTTTTGAACTTAAATCAGATGAAACTAGTGCTTTTGGCTAAACGTTGCTGAATGCTACTTGTATGCAGCAGAGAACTAGAGGATTACATGATTTCAACCTTTTAGGGTGGCAAATACATGTATAATTGTTTACATACTTAAGAGGAAAAGTTGAGTAAATTTCATGTCGTATAGTGGCTCTACTTTATGTAGCCTGTATTAATGTGAAATATTTACCTGAATATTCAATAAAAGGCAAACAGTATTTATAGGTTGTGTGTGAGAATTTTGGAAGAGGATGCATATTGTCATTGGTAGCGGCCATGTCCAGGAGTATTTTCTTTATAGGATCGCTAAATTAGCAAATGGATGTGGTTGGGAAAGGGGGAGGTGAGGGCCTTGAGCCTGCAGTCATATATGATGCAAAGTCTGAGTGCTTCCCCCTGCCAGTTGTTAACCCTTTTATTTTCTGTGAGCATGGTTGTGTGTTTTGGTTTTTGTTTTCTGTTTTCTCTCTTTCTTCTGGATCAGTTCTGTTACTTTTAGCAGTCGCTTTACAGGTGGGTTGCCTGAAATACCAGATATTGCTCAGGAGCTGGAAATAAGTGCTGACTTGACCCCTTGGCAAACAATGACATCTTAATTTGCAGGTGGCAAATAGATCAATTTATCCTAGGATAAATGCAGGACTTCTTCACTGATTCTCTGTGACCAGCTGCCCAGAAACAGATCTTAGGAAAGCAGAGATTATTTCCCAACAGAGACTAATGTATTCAATTTTAAGACTCTTTTAACCCTTTAAATCTGGTAAGAGCTTCTCAAGCTGTTTCTGTGAGGAAGAACAGGTTTTTGCATACTGTTTAAGATGCAGATTCATGGTCCACGCAGGTACTGCTGATGCCAGTATCACTGTGCCTTGGAAGCTTTACATTTCTTTGCATTAAAAGTATGCTTATTTCTACTTTTGCTGAGCGCTACGGCAGTAACCGCAGTGGATATTTGGTCCATTTCTCAAGCAGGTAACCACAGTGCACAGTGTCCAACGTAATGGGACAATGGTCTTTCAGACCAGAGAGCAGATGGAGCATTCCCCACCTTCCTTCCTCTTTCTCCTGACCATTTCTTATAWGCAACTGCAGAGTTTCCCCAGGAAAAGCAATGAGGAAGCAGCACCTAAGAGAGAGGATTCAGTGATAACTTGCATGGAGTGAACTCTTCAACTAATGTAATGGCATGGTTGTCCCAGTTATTTCTGAATATTGAGGAGTGCTGAAAMTATGGAGTGCACAAGTAATATCTGTGTGCTGTAGACAAGTAAACCTCAGCCCTGAATACTGCATTCAGCCCTACAACATAGAAATGGGGAAAAAAAAAAAAAATCACTTAAACTACTTTTGCTCTTACCGCCCTCCTGCTAAACCGCAAATGCCGAAAGAGAAACACTTGTGTTAACAGTAATTGCATTAAAAGCAAATACCAAGGAAAAAAAAAATACATTATTGTAATGTAAGAGCTCTCGTGCGCGCTAGGTGTGTGCCGTGTTCCGGCCGCCGGGCTCGGGGCAGGCGCGCGGGGC